ATCAAGTTTTTAAGCTTCCCTTTTACATATCTTACATTTCTTTCTCCCACTTTTGAGCATATATAACCAACTTTTAAAGACAATGTTTTTTTTTCTTTGCATTTATTTTGATACTTTTTTATATTTTGAAATTATAATTTCACTCCCACATACCCTTCCTTGCTCATTCTAGATCATAGTCTTTTTTTTTCATTAATTATTGTTACATACTCATATGTATGTGTATCTATATAGTAGTATATACATATGTTCCTAAATACATAAGTACAACCTCTCAGTCTATATGTTACATGTATGTCTGCCTTTTATCTTCTTCAGGAGAGGTTCCTGCTATATAGCCCAGGATGAGGATGGCTTCAAATTTATGGTTCTTCAGTGTCAGGCTGCTTAGTAATAGGATTACAGGTATATGCCACCATCAACAGCTTTATAGGCACTCAACTTTGTTTTATTTTATTCCACTTCCTAGTTAATGTCTTTATCTTTATACGGCCTAGCTTTCTAGTCTTTACATTTTAGCCATACTTTTTTAAAAATTTAATTAATTTTATTTTTTATCTGCATTGTGATAAAAATTATCTGTGATAGTGTCAGATCCCCTGGAGTCAAGAGTTACAGGCAGCTGTGAGCTGCCATGTGGATGCTGGGGATTGAACCTGAGTCCTCTGGAAGAACAGCCAGTGCTCTTAACCACTGAGCCATCTCTTTAGTCCCTTAGCCATACTTCTAAATCTCAATGTTACCTTTGGTATCTTATTATTTCCTTTAACACACCATAATGTAGTTTGAATGTTACACCTGTTTTCTCAACCGTCTCTTGAGAATATAATACAATTTAGGTTTTAATGGTTTGGTTTCTCACATTAACACCATTCTTCCGTAACTTTTTTTTTTTTCAGTTTTTTTCCATTGTATTTTTTCATACTGAAGGAAATCTTGAAATGTCTGATGATTCTTAATAACCTTTAGTACTTTAAAAATAAAACCACACGCAGAAAACTGAGACCCCTATGAGCATGGATTTCTTGATTCGTGAACCCTTCAGAGTAATTAAGTCAACCACTAGCTATTCCAGGAGGAATCTTTCAATGATAGAATACAAAGGTCATTGCACCAGTATCATTTAATTTCTTTAGAAGAAGGAACCAAACCATGCCCCTTACGCTTGGGAAATAGCCTGACAAAAAACCCAAATCTACAAGTAACTCTTTCCCCCATATGCTCCCAATGAGGGCAGCTCCTGTGGACAATTCACACCTTGCACATTCACATTCCATGCCTCCTGTGTGCAGGCAAGGAACACAGGCTTCCTTCTACTTGCTTTAATCACTGCACTGTTTTAAACCTACTTTATAACTAGGTATATGCATACCTAAATCATAAGAATTTCAGATTCTTAACCTTAGAGACTTACCTTGGTCCTTTCTTTGAATTTGGCAGTGGGTAATTTTACAACCCAGTGTTGTGCCGAAAGTGTAAATTGAGGCCAAATACAAACACCAGATGGGTTTGAACTTCCTTCTCTGTATCCTATATCCTTTCTGAATTTCAGAAAATTGTGGCTGTCTTTTTGTCACTATTGATCCTTACCTATTTTCTTTTCTCTGTATTTCTTTTACTTTTTTACTGTTATTTTAATGGGCTCCTAGGAGGGCAAGAAGGAAAAATACAAATGTCCAGTTTATAATTTTCATTCAATGTTATCTACAAGCATTTTATTTTTTTAAACTGGGAGTTTCTTGACCTCTTTCTGGAAGGCTTTAAGGTCCTCTCAATTATCATATTCTGAGACTTATCATTCGAATTTGCCAAGACCACTTGAAGAAATAAAATACAAAGTAGTAACCAAAAGAATGTGCGTACCACAAATTCATTGATATCCATTCAATAAAGTAAAATTGTTCCTAAATGTTGAACATTAAAATGAAATAACTTACGAAATGGCAGTTTCTTTTTGAGGGACGACATTAGGAAAGGAACACCTAAAGCCAATATGTCAAAGCAAACAATGTGTTGATAAGAAATAAAGAGTACTTACACAGCAAGACTACTCAACACATACTGTACGTGCTCACATTCATCTGGGAATGACGTGCTGGCTGACGTGAAACAGCAAAGTGCAGTCTGAAGAACCTGAAGCTGTGGCAATGGGACCTGCCAACGTCCAGCATAATCTTCAACCACCTGAAGAAGTGATTTTAAAAGCACATTACTATGAAAAATGTCGCCAACTTAAATTTAAAATCCAGATAAAACTTAAAGGATATACAAAAACATTAATTCTGCATGAATGCACCGGAATGAGCGGTAAGGAAAAGTGTCCATATTGTTTATCTCACAGTATAAATCTGAAAATAAAATCAACTGTCTTTGAAAATGTAGAAAAGAATTACACTAAATGAACATTTTCAGCTGCCAAACCACTACCAATCTTTGTTAACAAACTTTCACAGTCTATATACACCTTTTGTTTAAACATCAAAAGTATGAAAATTAAAATAACTATACAGAAAACTAGAAATGGACATACATATTATTACCACTGTATTAACAGCACTAGACATGCTCTCCACAAGTGCTTCTTAAGCTACAGTAGCATAATACTCTGATTATGACTATTTATGTACTATATTATGGGAGAAAATGAGTAATTATGATTCTTGGGCCTTGCTGGCCACCACCTGAACTCCAGACTCAGTGAGAGACCCTGTTTTATAAGAATAAGCCAAAAGATGGAGCTGGATATCACCTCCTCATCTGATCTCCACTTATACACAACCCCACACCACCCCCACTACACACACCCCAAGCAAACACACACACACACACACACACATAGAGAGAGAGAGAGACAGAAAGAGAGACAGAGACAGAGAGAGAGAGAGAGAGACATCATTTTGAACTTTCCTAACAAATAATTTTGTAAGAAAAAAAATCTAAAGTTAAAGTTACATTTTTTAAAAACAGCAACATGATTTAAAAGAAGATTCTAGAAAGGTAAAAGCCACTTGGAATCTGCAAACAAGTTAAGCCTCAGTATTTTTGGAAGCTTAATAAAGCACATTCCTTGCACAGCTCATTGCTCCTTAGGTTGATATTTATATAACATGAAGGGCTTTCAAGAGCTCTCAGTGTGGTTAAGTCTAAACTTTTCCTGAACGGAAGCTGGAATAAATGCCTCTGCACCTTCACATTCCATGTCATCTTGAACATTATCTATTCTATATTGATAGACAATTCACCACATTTAAATACTATTTTTTGCTGGGATACATAGCTCAGTGGTAGAAAACTAGTACAGGATGTATAAAGCTTCAAATTCAATTACGGTAGCAGCAAAATAAATAAGCAAAATTAAAGATGATTTACTTTACAAACTCATTTGTTAAATATTATTCACTATGAAACAAAAAATGGTATCTACTCATAAGTTTTAGTTTGGTGATCTAAAACTATATAAACAATTCCACAGTCTGTTAAATACGGTGTCTTGTCTGAATTTGAAATCTGAAATCTTTAACTATTTTCCCAATGGTCTCTAGAATTTCTCCTTCTCTCAAGAGCAGACCTTGAACCCAGCCCAAACTACCATACATACTCTTCTTGTACACGATCCAAAATGAGCCATAAGACCTTAAGCTAACACAAATCACAATCATTTTCACATCAGTTTAGTCTAAGGATGGTATAGATTTGGGTTTTTCAGTCAGCAAAAAATGCTGTATCGTTTTTGCACACAGATTGCTCTTAAGCAGTCCTTCTAATGTCATAGCTCTCACTCGTCCCATTCACAGTACCAGCCCAAACCACCAGGTATGCACAGCCAGTATATTAGCATTTACTTCCAGTCCATGTTACCTGAAAATATGCAAGTTTTTTTAAGTCATCATCAAGATTATATCCAATAAATAACACAGACATGTAATGGAACATATTCAGATCCCCTGGTCACATATTAAAGATCACTAGTCAATATCTTTTTGGCAAGGCTATTAAACCAGCTAGTAATATTAAGTCTCCCCTATCTCAGTGAGACAATGTCTAAAAAACTAAAAATATCAAAATTGACATATGTTGAGTCTGCCACATATTTCATAACTATTGTCAATAATCCTATTTTTTAAGTAGAAATAATTTAAATTCTTTGGTGGCAAAGAGACAAAGATGCTCTTCTCTTCCCACTGTCAATTATTTATTCAGTAAACACTTCAGCAAATTTACTATTTGCCATGCTCCACAGTTCCCATAATCCACCTATTTGGAAAACATATCTATCCACCTATTTGCGCATATCTGTCTAGGTTTTCAGCAATTCTTCAGTTCTAGTTTCTATAAATTTGATTGTTTGCAAAGTGTCCCCCAAAGTCCATCCGAATGTAATTGAAAAATTTTAAATTATTACAGAGTCCCCCCAACTTTGGTTTGTAAGCTTTGGGTCTTTTAGATACAAACAGTTCCTAACTTGGAAAAAAATAATTTACCTTCCTAGATGAGATATTTGTTTTTTTTTTTTATTTATTTATTTATTTTATTTATGAGTACACTGTCGTTGTCTTCAGACACACCAGAAGAGGGCATCAAATCTCATTACAGATGGTTGTGAGCCACCATGTGGTTGCTGGGATTTGAACTCAGGACCTCTGGAAGAGCAGTCAGTGCTCTTAACCACTGAGCCATCTCTCCAGCCCCCGATGAGATATTTGTAATGAAGCAGCTGTATTTTTTCTACCCAAATATCCCCTGCATATATTCACCATATTCACTGACTTAACAAAAGATAGTAAATTTTCAAAAGAAAGAAGGAAATTAAGTAAAATCATATTATAGGAATGTATTCCATTCAAAAGGAAAAATATCAAAACTAGCTTCACACATGAAATAAAAGGACTTTGGTGAATCACGAAATAATAAATAACTTAAAATATTGATTAGATATTATTCCTGTTTCACAAGAGGGATTTCATACCTGCTACTATGAACCTGGTTAAAAGCCTGTGGCTGGGGAGAACATAGGCCTTGGTGGCAAAAACTCTTGTTTTATTTTTGAAATAGTCATGCTGTCAAACTGCTTTCTAAATATGTTTATAGCCACAAATCAGAACAAAATGACTGAGTGCTCAGCTATGGATGCATCATCTGCATCTACCTCCCCAGTCCAATGCTTAGGACATGGAAGAGGGAGCAGAAAGAATGTGAGAGCCAGCAGATGGGATGGAGAGCAGTCAACTGTTGACCTCTGGATATAACATGGATATTACACACAGCAGCTCTGGTTTCCTGTGCAAGACCTACACAAGATCCAGCATGGACAGGAGAGGGGCTCCCACACTTAGTGGAAGACGTGTTGGCACCTGATGGGAAGGAGAGTCTCTCTCCTTTGTGTACTATGGTGCTACAAGGGTGCTACAATGGTCTCACCTCATGCATATATGTAACACTAATTAATTGGACTCGGCGAGTTATTAATAATAATTTTAAAAGAAGGACATGAAGGTGGGAGCAAGACTGGATGGGACGCACTAGAGGGAGTCGAAGTCATAACGGGATAGGGGTAGCCATATATATAATCATATTGTATAAATATATGTACTTTAAAAAAATTTTTTTGAAAAAGTAAAAACAAAAGTAGACTACAAAACATTATCTCCATTCTAACAAGCAATCTTGATTAGTGCTAACTGCCATTAAAACACTGTAAATAACTCTTTGAGCTAAGATATTTGTAATTTAAAATTGTTTGAGACTTCCTGTTTTAACTATTCTGTTAACTTGCCCTATGCTACTTTACACTTGAATAGTATACAGCACTTTCCTTTTAGCTTTGTCATTTTTAAAAGGTAGCATTATCCAGATGCAATCTATTTTTTTCTAACATTCCCGCAATAGGAATGGTATTGTTTTTTATGTATATTTTATATAAAGGAGGGACCGACTTTCTTCTTTTCCTCTTCTGTGGCCCCAAAACTTTCTATAAACTACAGGAAACAACTAGAAAGCCTATACTGGTTAATGAAAAGAAGAGTAAATGCAACAACATCAGTCAGAATTCTCTCACTCTATTTCTGTCCTTCTTAAATTCTGGGCAGTATGACTATCTTTTTTTCTACATTCTCATTTATAAAATATGAACTCAGTCCTTCTCAAAACATACCATAGTGAGGACAAAGTTTACACCTCACGCCCAAATCACTTAGTTCATGGGATGATGTTTGCAATGATTACTGAGATCCTACCAGCTCTTAACTGTAGAAGTTTTGTTCTATATGCCTCCTCCTCAAGTTTTCTGCATTCACTGTATGTAACACAGGTCAGGGCACCTACATAGTAGCATGAAGGTCAGCATAAAAATCTGGCTTTTCCAACCATTGGACTGAGTATGGGGACCCCAGTGGAGGAGTTAGAGAAAGGACTGAAGGAGCTGAAGGGTTTGCAACCCCATAGGAACAACAACAATATCAACCAACCAGACCCCCACCCCCACCCCACCCCTGAGCTCCCAGGAACTAAACCACCAACCAAAGAGTACACATGGAGGGACCCATTGCTCCAGCTGCATATGTAGCAGAGGATGGCCTTGTCAGGCATCAGTGGGAGGCGAGGCCCTTGGTCCTGTGAAGACTCAGTTCCCCAGTGTAGGGGAATGCCAGGGCCCTAAGGTGGGAGTGGGTGGGTGGGTATGGGAGCACCCTCACAGAAGCAGAGGGATGGAGGATGGGAGAGGGAGTTTGCAGAAGGGAAACTAGAAAGGGGATAACATTTGAAATGTAAATAGCTGGGCAGTGGTGGTGCACGCCTTTAATCCCAGCACTTGGGAGGCAGAGGCAGGCAGATTTCTGAAAAGAAATGTAAATAAATAAAATATACAATTAAAAACAAGAATAAAAAAATATGGCTTTCCTATTAGTAAAGTAATAGTAAACAGTAAGGGCTTTATATCAATAGTGAAATAAACTTTCATTTGTTACCAGAACTACAGGAGTAACACAACATTTGCTTCATATATTCTTAGAGTGGTGCCTGGACAAGGGAATACACATATGTGCACAATAAAAACATTAAATTAAAATGAAAGTTATATAAATACTAACTTTCAACACTAAGTGTTGCGGTAAATCTCCAACCCCAATAAG